AGCATCTGCAAAGGCGTTCCTAGAGGAAAGCTCAGGGGAAAAAATAGAGCAAGCTCAGAACGGGGAGGAGGGACCACCACAGAAACAGAGCTGCTTTGAGCCTGCAGCTGCCACAGAGCTGGCAGAAATCACACCCAACGGAGAGGGCAGGCCACTGGAGGAGAACTCCATGGATGTGGAAACAGAGGTCAACTCAGACACCAGCACACAGTGGGAAGAGAATCTGGGTAGCACTAAAGGAACTGCTGCCCAGGTAGCAGTTGCCCTGAGCCATTCTGCCAAGGGCAATGCCTCTGACAGTGACCAAGTGGAGAGGAAGTCAGAGGTTCCTGCTGGGTTGGGCTCAGTCTGTCACCCAGCCATCCCCGAGACTGAAGCAGCAGGTGCTGCAGGAAAGGAAAAGGAAACCCGTGTCCCTCCTTCCCAGGGGGGCACACACCGAGCTGGCTTCGATGCGTTCATGACTGGCTATATCATGGCTTATGTCTGGATGCTCAAGCAAGGGAAAAACACAGACACTGGAGCAGGGCCCTGGTTGCCAGACTGCCATAATAAACTGTACCTCAGCGGGAAATCGGTGCCACTGCAAATTGTGAAGAGCTTGTTTTCTAAATCTTCCAAAGCCCACAGCGAGAAGATAAAGTTGGCCTGGGACAGTGCATAGAACTACAGAGCTCCTCACTAAACTGATTTTTTTTTCCCTTCAAGTTTTGAAGCCCTTTATTCCATCAAGTCCTTTATTTCATCGCCAGAAAGGGAACAAGTTTCTTGTTTCTGTTTTAACATCTGACCAATTAAATTGCTCTCAGTTGGAGTTCCCCCTGTGTTCCTTAGCAGCATGTTGGGATGTGAAGGCAGTGGCGAGGCTGAAGAAGGGGGCGGAGAAGTGCACCTTTGGTTACAGCACATCCAGCTGAGACCTCTTCTCCTACAGGAGAGAGGGGAAGGAGAAAGTTTCTCCCAGATGGACCAGCTGATTCTAGTGCAGGCTAACAGCATGCAGAACCAAGCCATAGCAGCTCATCAGCCTTCTGCCAAGGGGAGATGCAGTGAGGGTGAAAGCCAGATGTGGTCCTGAGAAACTGCACAGCTTCCTGTGCTACTGAAGCTGTTTAGGGCTAGAACAAAGCAGCCACCATGGCAAACTCCCTGCAGGCTGCTATCAAAAGCTATGGCCTCCTCTTCTGGGCACTGTAACCCAGAGCAGTAAAAATAAAATCCTTGATTCTCATTAATTTAATAGTGAAACACTTCAGTAAGATGCAGGAGAGAAATAACACTGACTCAGGATGATTCCTTGTTTATAATTCAGCACTGAGTAATAGCAAGTACAATTTCGAGCCAGGTATTGATGGCATTTGTAGCTTAAGTAAGCATTCGAGCCAGCTTTTTTAACCTAGAATTGTCCTCTTAACGACAAGACTCAGGCCTTGATTTCATTTTTATTTTGAAAGCAAGTTGGGAAAGTTTACAAAACCTGACCAAGAAAAAAATTATGAAAATATTTAACTGGATTCATCTTTGGTTACTTCTTATTGCAGTTCCAATAAAACATACACCATTTCTATAGTTCAAAAAAGTCAGAAGGTCAATCAACATAAAAACAAGACGTGCTTTCTTTACATATTCATAAATATCCGCAATATTAGAAAAGTTGTTTCGCAAAGATTTCTTTTTCTGGCAGTGTTAACTTACTATTATACACAGGCTACAAACCTCTTCCTAAGCCTTTAATTACAAGTTGAGCTATTTACAGTCTGCAAAATATTAAGACGTAAAACTCCTTCATAAATACGAAAATAGATCATCTCGCAAAGGTCTTTATACTTAATCAAATATCTGGCTGCCCCTCCTCCCGAAAAAAAAAAAAAAAAGGTTATTTGTTTTGCATAGAAATGTAGTGACATGCAATATAAACAATAGCATTAAGTGCAAACAGGAATTATTCAAGTGTCTTTAGTTGTACTGGCAAAAAATACCAATGCTCTGTTACGCATAACACATCAATGCCTCTCCAACAAGTACAAGTCTGCTGCAGCCCCTGGGCTGCGCTGCTTTTGAAGGGCAGCAGTTCACATGCCTTCTCTGGGCTGTGTTTCATCAACCTGCAACCACAACGAAAATAGCTTATAACAGACATATTTAAATGAATTCAACACAGAGAGATTTAAAGTGAATTTAAAACATCTTTGATCTCGTCACAGAGATGCGTAGCAAGAACGGCTCCCGTAGAGTCGAAATCGCGGTAAAATCCAATCACGATAAAACTCTGTCGCATCACTGTAAAACAAGGAGTTTGCTAACCACATGTTCAAATTCACGTTCATCAGTAGCTGTCAGAAAATGGCCCCCTGTCAAAAAGTAACCTCAGGTAGGCAGAAAACCTAGGAGTAGTTGCTAGGTGCAACCTAGATTCAGCTTTACGCAACCAAAGGGATGAGATGCAGTGAGTTCCAACTGCATCCAGACCCCTGGAAACACTGGGTTTCAGCAACCACTTAGCTCTTTTTAAAATTACTTCTTACTCCAGTTTCATACACATGCCTCTTCCCGTGCAGACCAAGAATCCAGGAAAGGCCTGAGCTGCTAGTCCTTGGAATTTCTCTTTCTGACTTCTCCACCTCAGTACAAAGAGCCAGAAAAGTCGACGGGCGTGCCCAATGCACGTCAGCTGGTTGTGCTTAGAGCGGACATTTAAGAAAATAAAACTTTTAGCCATGCTGCTTTGTAAGAGCTGTTCAGGGCAGGGAAACATTGTAAGAGTGGTGTAAGAGAACAGATGAGGTCACTGCAATGGGTGCCACAGAGGGCAACAGGCTTCGTGATGAGGTGTCAGCTGACAGCCAGGGCTCCACAGGGCAGCCAGAGGTGTGCGTGTGCTCTCTGATGAGGCTGCAGGCTGCTCCAGGATGCTGGGCAGCTTCCCTCAGCCTGGTGATCCAAAAGTAAACTACTCATTATTGCTTTTTTTTTTTTGTCTGAAGTCACGCACCTAAATGCACCTTGTGACAACAGAAGCTGGTGCTGATGGTTTCCCTCCCGGAAGATTACAATTGTATCAAAGATAAAAGTATTAAAAAAAAAAAAAAAAGAAAAAGCAAGCAGGCATAAGGCAGGCAACTCTGGCAATTGAGTTCTGCTGTTTCTCTGTCCTCAAAGGAAGTTACACAAAACACAGTGCCAGCTGTACAAGCTGCTCTGCACTCTGCAGACACGATACAGAATCCAGACTATTCTACAGATCAGCACCTTCAAGAGGCAGAGGGTGTGGGCCAAAAGGGGTGATCTTAGTGAGCACAGGCATTTTCTCTTTCAAACTGCCAACAGCTGCCTAATCTGAATGGACTGTGCTACATAACTCAGCAACACTGGGTTTCTCATTAAATTCATTGCAGCCACTGCAAAGGGAGAACCGCTGCTCAGGTTAACACACACTCACAAGACGGAGTCATAATTGTAACTCATGGAATAATTACCTACACCTCTGGAAGGATAAAGAACTAAGGCTTTCTCCAACCTTCCTTTGAGATGGGAGAAGAGTAGAAATAGTCTGGCTTCCATTATCCATCCTTACAAGAGAGCAGGAAGAGAGTGTAACAGGCTACCTAGATGAAATTTTGGACTCTCTGCTGCATCACCATCTGCTCAGCAGGCATGCAATGCATACCTCACTTAGGAATGATAATATAGGTTAAAAAAAAACCCCTTAAAATAAAATCCCATATTGTTGGGATGATGATAATGGAAAAGGATGTTGGACAAACCTCATCACAGAACAAGCTTTCCTCACGCATCGTGTCCCAGAGCAGGGGTCACTGATGCTGGTTCCAGCAAGCAGCATTAAAGCTCATGTTGCTGCTTCTTTCACATGTACCTGCTGGTGAAGGGAAGTAAAAAAAATAATATCAAAAAATAAAAAGATCATCCTATTTAGTGACAGGAGAAGCCAAAAAAGACAGCAGCTTCTTTCTGTAGAGGGGAAAAAAAAGTTAATTTGGGACAAGCTGATTTTCTTTAGTTTGACAATTCAAAGCCTTCCTGTGAGTCATCCTCTCTAAGAGCACTTGTGTGGCCACAACACTGCTGGCAACTTCCCCTGAGCAGGGGATCACTGTCTTCTGTCAAGCAGCTGGTTTTAAGTGAGGAGCCATCATTACTGCAGTGGAATCAGTGAGATGGGATGTTGTACCAGAGAGGGACGTGAATGTGACCCTTCTAGCTTAGTCAACTGTGATGTAGCTACTGTATTTAAAGATTCTGCAGAAACAGATCATGATGTTCATTCAGTTCTTCAGAGATAAGAGCACATCCACCCCCCCCACCAAAAGCTCAGTACAGCTGTTACTCTTAGGGGCAGCTTCTTCAGAAGCCCAGAAATCACAATGCCTGGAATATGGCTCTCTGTGCCCTGGGCAAATCTTCTCCACATTTGGGCTGAGGTACATGAAGAGCTGTATAAGGAAGAGAGCTTCCCTGCACTAATGCATTAAACATCATTACCAAATCCCAAGGGAAAATGAAACACCAGGGAACAGATTTTTCTTGTTAATTGCAAAGTATTTGTCATGTGACTCAGCCTGCAGATTGTGACCAGCATGAGGGGTTTTGTTTTTGCTGCTTTTGAATGAAGAGCTTGTTTAATGCTGCAACAGCATTCACAGCAGCTCTGGAACCAGAGAGCATTCCTATCTGCTCAACATAGCTCTGTGCCTGTTTCTAAAACAGAGGCTCCAACTCACGTGCACTGCTGCAGAATTAATGAAAAATCTGCAGTGGCTTAGAGCAGCTGGTCAGTCAGAGAAAGAGGGAAAACCTAAGGGTCATTCTTTCTACTCTACATGGAGCTTAAGGCCTTGAAATACTCCATGCTGAAAATCCAGGTCAAACTGTTTACACGGTGCCTGCTCTGGCTGCTGCCTCTTGGAAAGGCTGTGGGGCTCACATGGCCATTCTGGCTGGAGTAGTTCCCCCTCCTAAAGTAAATCAGGAACGGGAATAAGCACAGTTTGAAATAAAGTTTTATAAAATAATCAGTCTCTCCAGACACTGTCTGCAGCAATCTGTTTGACAGGCAGCTCCCATCATCTGCTGAGTCTTTTTCAAACCTGAAGCCCAGCACTTGAGAAAAACAGAGTTTAAGCAACTGGGAACAACTGTTCCCTCAAGGACATGTTCAGTTTGAGCCCTCTCTTCATATGTCACAAGGTGACTCTGTGCTGCCACTTGCTGAGATGTTGGAGGAAGTCTGAGGCAACAGGGCAGGACTGTCCCCATCCTGTTCCCTGAAGGGCCATGCCTCTCTTTTCAGCTCGTTGGAAGGACTAACACTGAACAGAGGCTTTGTGGACTCTAATAGAGTACTTTTCAGTAGATCATCTTCCACCTCCATCTCTTCAGATGGGAGACAGCCTGCAAACACTTGTGAGGAGCCACGTCCCTCAGAGTTCACTGAATTCTCAACTGGGAGCTTTTTGTAAGACAGAGGCTCAGGCTGGGCCAGCACTAATGGTTGGTTACATGCTGGAGCTCCACACGTGTTCTCAACAAGGCAAAACCCATTTTCCTCCTGGGCCACTGGCCCATCTGAACAGTCCATATCCTCTTCTTGTCCTGGTGCAAGAAGAAATTCTGGTCTGTGATGCTTGGCGTGAAAGGGGGGAATCTCTGACACGCCATATTTGCTGCTACTCAGGAGTTTTTGCCGAACCTCTGCACCAAGCTGGGCTGGGTCACACCTGCCAACGGTTGAAGACAGCCCTCCAAACAGGCCATATTCCTTGTGTGGTAATTCAGGAGAGAGTGGAAGCGATCTGCATCTCCTCCCAGGAAGCAGGGAAAATTCCTGCCAGTCTGTGCTGTATGCCTGCCGGAAGTGGGACTGGCTGGCTTTCAGGCCCCCGCCTGCCTCCGGAGAGTACAAGTCAAACACGAGGGAAATCACAGACTTGCTTGGCATGTCAAAGAATTTGATCTTCCCTCCCTTGAGGTCCTCCCGGGCACTGAAGGGATTCACTTTCCGGCCTAACCCTTTGTTTGGTGTATAGTAGGGGTCCTGCACGTTTATCTTCCTGGAAGGCTTGCGGGAGAAGATATCTGACTGGCTGCGTGACAGCCAGATATTCCGACGGGGACGGGGCGACTTGGGTGGGATCTTATCATCCAAGGAACTCAAACGTTTTACTCCTGGTCCTTTTTCAATTGATCCTGAGTAGAAAAAGAGAAACACTCTTAGCTTAGAGAAGCTCTATATAGCTGTATGTCTGCTTGCTCACAGAGCCTTCATGACAACTGTAAAGAAAAAAGCTGCATTTCTGATGTTCCAAACTATCTTCCATAAGCACGTGTCTGCTCCTTCCTTATGAGTTCCTGCAGAGACCCAAGTACACCATTCTCTTCTCCTCAGTGTATTTTAGAGCCCCTTCAAACCTCCTTGCTGCCAGTACACTGCCACAGCAGAGACGGCACAGGGTGTTAGAGAAGAACAATTTGCATGTTTCTAGATTTATTGTCCTGGCTTCCAGCAGAGGTTGCCCAAGATCTGTTGGTGATACTGGCCATAAGAGAACAAGTACAAAACTTAGTTGCCAAAGGAACTGGGACTTTTTAACCCTGACAGAAAAAGTCTGAGACCAAAATAAATGCCCATCCTGGTACCATGAAGATTTTAAATAATTCCATCGCAGCCTTCATTCATTACATTATCCAACACAAAACTAGGATACTAGGGGTAAGTGATTGTTTGACCCTGATGAATAGGAGTTTTAAAGTTGTCCATATGCATGTGTATTTGCATATACACACACATACATATATATAAATAAAGCTGTTATCACTACAACAGGTTGGGAAAACAGTAGATGCTAACTCTGACTGTTTGGAACATGCATCTGCCACTGGCTCTCAAGGTGCCTTTGAAGAGCTGTGTTAGAGCCTTAACAAATGAATATAAAGAAGTGATATCTCCTTTTGATTACCATTTCCAGAATAAGCACATATGGATTTTCACTTTCCCCTCTCAATACTGCCACAGTTTAGACTGCAGTCATTCCATGTAGGAAAGACTACACAAGTCAAAGAACAGCATGTAACACTTCTTCAAGAAGTACTTGTTTTGTACATGCACTCCAAGGGGAGAATGCCAAAAATATGAAAAAAGAAAAACCCAACACAAACCAAACAAAAAAAAACATTTTCCTTTTTAACTCACACCTCTCTTAGATGCTTTCCAGGTGTGGGAGAACCACCACATGCATTAACTCTATGTGGTTTGAAATAGAGAATAATCATTGCAATCTAAAACCATATTACAGATTGATGGCTATGTGTATGTGTTGCATATTTATATATACACACACAATGTGAGAAACTGTTTTTACTGTACTCTAAGTTCCCAGTGCCAGAAGTGTACTAACATAAGAGACACCCAAGTCAGAATATGGCCCAGGCTACCAGTTTGCTCCCCACACCAGGTGGCACCAGACAGCTTTAGAGAAAACCTTTCAAGGCCAACATTCCCAAGCAGACCTGGGATTTATCTTTTCCTGTCTTTCAGAGTATTTCTAAGTACTTTATAATACTCTTGCATCTTCTGTGCTCTTCCTCTTGAAGGAATTAAGGAAGCTTCTAAATGTTACATGTAACATACACCAAAGAAATTACGTATATGTACTAAGTAGGGCAGGGATAAATAAAAAGTTGATGGATTTTCATATACTGTTAAGCAACTTACAAAACCATTCCCAAATGAACTCTAAATTTCCCCTCAAGGCTTGTGGGCAAAACCTCATGAGGCACTTTAAGAAACAGTTAGCTGGTTTTTCCCCAAAGGACACTCTGTAGTGCAAAGTACACAGCATTGCTCCAGAATAATTTTCACGGTTCAAGTAAAATTTTTCACAAGGTGTAAATAATACCACATATAGCTGAAATCCCAGGTTTCAAAATATGAAGCATTGTACCCTCTTGCTATTAGCATGCAGCAATGTTTGTACAATACAGACACTTACCTTTTGGTTTTCTTTCACTGTTGTCAAGGTTCAAGAACTTTCTCTCTCTCTCCGAGTCCTCATTTCTCAGGCGGTTTAACATTTCCTCCAGTGTTTTGACAATATCAGCAAATGAAGGACGCAGCTTTGGATCCATCTGTGAATGGACACAAATCAAATAAGTTCATGTGGGTTTGTCCATGCTATTCTGCTCACACAGTGGACAGACAGAGGGACAATCTGAAGAAACTAAGGAAATTCAAGACTGTTTTAAGTGTGTTATCATTGCAAAGTGGCATTTCTGTCTATCATACTTCTCACATTTAATTATCAAGTTGTAAACATTATATGCAGAGGATGAATTTTAAACTGACAAGGTGGGAATCTGTCAGATTCATGGCTTGTGATGGGGCTTTGTTTGTTTTGAACAGCTTGAATACTTCAAGACTTCTTTCTGGACTCTGGTTATCAGAGAGAGGTTATGTACTAACATTACTTCAAAAGGGTTATACAGAGCAACATGGCTATGTCATTCTTTAAAAGTTTGTAATTCTTCTATCATCTCCCTGTGGCTTTAATTAAAACCCACCTAAATGGCATTGCTGAAAATGCATCTTTCTATCTGCTAATCAGCCTTACCACTTGATGTACTGGTCTGTCTTGCAAGGAAGCAAGATTGGTTATATAATTTGACCAAGTAATATATTAGAAAAAAAAAACCTCAGGTAAAATATTCCCCCTGTATCAGTTTGAATTTCTCAGTAAGTATTTAATTATTCACTCTAGCAGAAATGGAACTCTAAACAAAGACCAACACTAAAACTGAACTACAGGCCAAGAAGTTTAATTTAAGATAGTAACTTAGAAGGCATTTCATAAATTTGAACATCGACCCTGTATATATGTTACAGGTTTAACTACTGTAGGTATCAGTATCTAATTCAGCAGCTGAAAGTTAACCTCATTACAGTAATAACAAAATATTCTGCTTGACCTGATTCCTGTTTCCAGCCTTCTAAAGGCTTTTTCAGAGTGGGCAAGCCCAGACAGATCTCACCTCTACAATAGGAACAGTGGTGCTTTGTGCACAACAAACCTCCAAGACCTCCCTCGTACTGCCCTGCAGGTCCTACGAGATGGATCTTTCTGAAAAGAACTGGTATGATCAGCAATGCCAGAACACCTTCCAGCAACACAGGGTGAAGGGCTAAAAATTCACATGTACAGTAATAAAAACCAACCAAACAAATCGCACTTGAAGAGCTCAAGAGCAGCAAGAAAGTTGTTCTAATGCAGCAGCTGGAATTTCCTGGCATTGGAAAACATTTTTCTGCTTTCCCTGTTTCACTGAAAGAGTAGGGCAGGGGCAACACTGAAGCACACACTGTACTCTGACAAACTTACTAATTTGGAAAGCTTAAGGAGCTGTTGCAAGCTACAGGAAGTCAGAGGAAATAAAAGGGGCTCTCTGGCTATTTTAATTTATGCTAGGTAAGATCCAGGACAAAGGCACCAATGAAAAAGTTACTCAGAGCACCACTTGCCTCTTCCATCCCTGAGCAGCCCAGATTCTGTTCAAATGGAATAAAAGATTCTTCCTCAAGGCAGCAGTTGCCCACAGCTCAGCTCGTGATGGTAAACTTTTTGCACGATCATTTATGATTATGTTTATTAAATATTCACACAAATAGGCTTATAGTTGTTGGGGAGCCTTCCCTGAAGGTACTTATTTAAAAAATCCCACACTTTATAACAGCAAATTAAAGACATTTTAATCCACTATTCATACATTTCAGTTTTTACTGGTTTTCTTATGTGCCCTAAAACACATTTCCCAGCTGTAGAAAACCCCGGGGCTTTGCACATTAGTTTGCACATTACTTCAGCTGATCAGCTGGGCTATACAGTTTACATTTTTTTGACCTACTAAATAATAAAAATGTCCATGTCTAAGAGCAAATTATCACACCAATCACCTATTACTGAAGCATAGCATGCTTAGGAAAATAAATGTAAGAAAGCCTTATCTGTTTATCCCCTCTTTCCTTCTACTAGGTGAGTGCTAAGTGAATTCCAGCATGGCCCATGCTGAAATCAGCATATTAATGGCTTGATCACATGAAAGTAATTTACATTTCAATTCGGGGAAGGGATATTTATTACACAAGAATCAGCATTTGACAATAATCAGTAGGAGAAAATCCTTTTTCTCTGACCACACCAAATTCTTAACATGAGAATATAAGGTCACTGCCCCTTCCTTCATGAGCAATTGTTCTCCGAGTTTCTGTGCTGAGAAATTGCTTTGAATCATGTACCATTTCTGGAGTCTACAGGTGGGAGTTGATATTTCCCAAGTCAAATCCTACCTCTAGCCAAAACCTTTAGCACTCATGTAACCAAAACACTTCATAAACATGAGTCAGATGTACCAACGTCCTGGTGAAACAAGCTCTGCTGTACTAAGGTGAAACCACAGGAGTGAAGTAGCTTGTCCACAGTAAGTTCCACAAACATTTTTAGAATTAAATTATGCTATCTGGTGTCAAGAGCAGCAGCCATGCCCCCAGTCTCACCTTTATACCGTGCTCTCATGAAGCATATGCATTTGCACTAATACAAAGGAGAGAGAGCTCGGGTCAAAAATAAGCATCAAAAGCACAAAGAGATGAGACTTTTCTTACAAGCACTCACTTGGACACAGTGCTGGTACTGGTTCCAGTATGGCCTGGTTGTGAGTCCCTGGCAAAGTTTTGTGCAATAAAACTTTTAGAAGTTGCCTCAACTTAGGTTGTGCAAACTGGACAGTCTCAACTTCATCTGAATCTGGTGGCAGCTCAGGTTCTCTTATTTCATATAAACCAGCTTACTATACAATACTAGCAACTCTGTTACAGGATAACCAACAAGAGAGATCTACTTCCTTGGAATTTTCACAGTGAGGAGCCATGAAGGTATCCAGAGTAGTTTAATGCCTGCCCTTGGTTTGTTTGTCCCCTCTGTTTGGGAGGGCAGCTCAGAACCCTTTCTTCTCAGCTCAGTAGGTCTGTACACAGTAACAGCTGCATTTTGTCAGCCCAAGGGTTACCCAGTTTCAGTAGAATCCAACTGGTTAGGATCACCCTGAGCAGCCTGCAAGAAGCTGTTCAGTTCTGTTTGCTTGGCATGACAGAACACAGAATTACAAAAACACAAGATACACCTTTTGGCAAGGGGAAGGGAAGGATTATAAAAACTGTAAAAGACTTTCTGGGTTATCAGAAGGCACTGCTGTTATAGGTAGGCTCTTCAAAACTCTTCTGTAAATGCTTTAAGCTCTATCTTCAAAAGCCAGAGGCATTTAGAGAACTCTAGTTTAGGCCTCTCCCCTTCAAGTAAGATACTCACGTTACAGCAGTTGAAGGCCAGCTGGAGGAAGTCAGGAGGACAGTCTCCCACCATGTGCTGGAAGGAATCATAATCTAATCCAAAATTCTGTACAAACAAAAACACAACACAGAGATATAAGTAAGGTCTGCTATCTGGCCCAAAGCATCTTCTTTTTAGGGGAACCCTACGTGGAGTTATCAGGAATAGCCAGGAACACCATCTCAACAACCACATGCAGACAATTTTAAGAAAACTTCATGCACACTCTGAACTGCAGCATTCCCAGTGGGGATTACTGATACAGGATACCTGTAAGAGAACGGACTGACTTCAAAGCCCATCCTTCTTCCTGCATTCAACTGCAATCCATTGCAGTTGAAATGTTGCCTGTGTGGATCTGGAAACAATCTCTTATACTGCGATGTTTCACTGTGGTGACTTTCACAGTGCAAATTAACAGCCTGCTATAAAACCAGAGACTTTGCTATGATGAAAATGTATCAGTTAAAATGGTTAACTTTTCTGTGGATGGTAGACTGGTAATACAAGTTATCCAGTTCCTTAAGTGCACGCCTATAAAATGTGAAGGCCAGAGAAGCAAAAGAATTTTACTTACTGCAGTTTGAGACCTAAACAATTTCAAATTTTCAGAATCAGAGGTGGACAGACAATTTGGAAGAGCCCCCTCAGAGGGCAAAAAGCTGCCCTGCAGATGTGATTCAACCAAAAGGCAATCGAAGAAAGTAAGAAGTATCTTTGATTAGTCAATTATAGCTCAGATCCACAGTGCTTAGCAGAGTCCATGCAAAAATAAGAGTGAGCTTATTTTAGCTGCTGTTAACCCAGGTCCTGCCCCTTTCACAAGGAGGGGCTGCTTAGTGGATGCAGTGTGCCAAAAGTGCCCTGTTCTGAACCTGGCAAGAAGTCTACATGAGCTATCACTCCACAAAAGGAAGAGTTTGCATTGCAGTGCTCTCAATGTTCTGCCAGTTAGGGGCAGAAAAGAATTCCCATGAGGATCGCAGCTGCACCAAGCCTCTGGGAAAGTGTCTTCAATGGAGCTTCCTACAATAACAGCATAGAAGAACAAAAGCCTTTTACAGGCTATTTTTAAAGTAGCACCTATTCATCGTATCTTTGGCAGCAGTGCCAGAAGTTCTAAAGGCCAGGCCTTTATCATGGCAGACTCACCACCTCCCACCAGCGTTACAAATGTGACACGTACCTCTGTGCGAGGGAGATAGTCTGGATCTGCCTGTATTCTTGCTATAATCTCACACAGAATTATACCATAGGAGAACACATCTGCCTGAGAGGGGAAAAAAAAATTAATAGACACATGGTTCAGTTATGAATACTGAGTGTTCTTATCTGCCAGGGAGTCTCTCCTCACCCCAAATGGCTATCGGGGAACAACTAAACTGGCACCACAGCCTTACAACACCGAGCAACTGCATTATTAGCTAACATTTTCCACGTGAAGAAACACATGCTCACAGTAAAGCATTCTTGTTGCATAAACAGCAATGGTAACTTTAAAACTCTTTCAAGAATAAAAGAGAAAACCCACCAAACCACTCTTAATTCAGCAGTGTGCAAACAAAACAAACAAAAAAATAATCCTTCCTTGCATAAAGAATGGTGAAGTTGCATTTGATGTCCTACAGATGGGAATAATTAGCCAAAAACGTGACATGCCTATGTATCACTGTGGTTAGAAAAACGGGTTTAGAATACACATGATGAAAGCTTATCCAGAACATTAATACTGCTTTTAAGAAAAATTACAGTTTTCTCTTCTCAGGGTTCAGTACCTCTGGAGAAAACAGTGTCTTCCCAAAGCTTGAGATATCCAGTAGCACTGTACACCAGCCTCAATTCCCATGACGCTCAGCAATCACTTATCTGACTACCCCTGGAGCTGCACAGTTCCTCAGATTTCCACCCACCTGAGTTTTTCATGTAACAAAATTTAGGAAAACATGGAATACAAGTCTACAGAGCAGAAGCTTGCATCCCTCATCCCATACACATCAGCCAGGTTTACATGTCACCTTTCATGCTGATGAGGGGTAAGACCTGCTTCCTCTTTAGTCCTCCATGCCCCAGGGTTGGTGAAGAATGTGCCACCACAGACTTGGGTACTTTATTATTAATTTAGATCAATTGTAACTCTTTAAAAAGCTTTGAAATGGTAATTATTACATTAATTACTGAGGTAGCTATTGACTTCCTGCAAGTTAAAACTACTACCAATTAACAGATTATTGACTACTAGCTATAAAGAGGTACAGGATGTGGGTTTTATCAGAGAAAAGCTGCACTAGCAGGGCTGAAGTAACGGAGAGAAAATCTTGTGTAAAGAAGAGCTTGATTGAAAATACTGTTTCCAAAATCCAGTGTGATCTGATCCTCCTCTGAAAGAAACACTTCCCAATGACACAAATAGGAAAACTAGTAAATACCTCTGGAGAGCATTTTTATCTTATCAAGAAATCTTACCTTAAGAAATGCTGATTTATATATATACACATATACACACACATAATTGTACAAGTTTACATACAGGTTTTACTTCTACCCAGATTTCACTAGTGTATGGGAAGCAACTTCACCACATTTCTCTTGAGACTTGGTTAAATGAAATTGTGTTACATCAACAAACCATTATCACATTTTGGCCTGTGGGGTGTTTCAGAATGGAAATAGCATCACAGAGAAAAACCCTAAATCTAATTCTATTTCCATGTAAGATTACACACCATGAATTAAAAATATTAGCTATTCAACTCTCACTCTCCCTAAAACTGAATGACCTGAGTGCAGAAATGTCACAAGTGAAAATAGCAAGTTTTATTATTATTGAAATTCTAAATCTTGCATACAGCTACTGAAGAGAAATACCTGACAACTAACATTTATATCATGTACCTACCTTTTCATTGTAGGGTTCATCTCTGAGAACTTCTGGTGCCATCCAGAAGGGTGAACCCACCACTGGTAACTTCTCACTATATAGATATGGGATAGATAGGGGGAAGAGGGAAGAGGGGTGGAGGGAGAGAGGAAAGAACCATTAATTAAATGCTCAAGCACTGCTACTAACTTTCCCAATCAATAACTCACATTTTATTTCTAGTTTTTAAGTGCCTGGCCACTTTGGGGGAAAAAAAAAAAAGTTTATTTTAAGGTCATAGCTGTTCAATAATTTTTATTTCCAAACTCCTGGCAGATTTGGCTCCTTTATCTGTACATGTAAAGGTTTGTGGACATCAGTTTCAGGCCAGATGCTGAATTATCCATTCATCCAGCAAGACATGCAGGTATCCATCTCTACATGTATACTGATAAGCAACTCTGAATGAAGTCAGCACAGCCTGTTTACAAACTGAATTAAAACAAAACAAAAAAAAAAATCAAGATCGACCAAATGAATCCTTTAACAGGCAAAACCTAAAAGTAATCAGAATAGATCCAATTTGAAAAATCTGCAGTTTCCATATGGCTGAATACTGGGGCCTTAAGAAAGACCTCCAGCCTGTCACCCAGCTGACCTTGAGGGAATACCTATTAAAAAAATAAAGGCCTTTGAAGGCTTCAAGATATCATGGCTTGCTATCAGCAAACTGAGAACAACAAAGCTGCCTTTCAAAATGGAGGCAAGACTAGATCAAACCAAAATGGTGCCTAATGTAGCAATTCTGTTAAGTTGTTTATTTCAGTAGCTACTCAAGCTATTAACTGTCAGTTTTCAGTTTTCAGGGCATCTAAAAACTGGTTGTTAAGAACAACTTAAGGCACCTGTAGTGCCTTCCTGATTTTGTGATGGGTTCATTCGAATACCGCTGAAGCTTTCAGCACTTTACAGGGTGTCCCAGAGGAGCTACAAGATACACATTGGCTGCACTTACCAGTATTTTGGAAATTAAGACTTTGTTAAGCTTTTACATCAATATTTCACCAACATTAACACAAGCCTTTAGGCCTCCCAAGATATGGTTCTAGGATACATGCAGTCTAAAAACTGTACATAGCTGAGATCAACTTTTATTGTTCTCTTTGCAGTCAAAAGAGCTGGAAGGCTTTTATTTATTTTACTCAGATGCACACACTGGAGAAAATCTGACGGCACATTTCACAGTCAGAATAGTCTGAAATACACAAGTTAATATACAGAGAGAACAATGAAATCCTTGTCCTCGATCTCCCTAATGGAGGGATGACAAAAGGACTATTTCCAATTGTGACAATAGCTTGGGACAGTCACCTGTGCATTCCTCAAATGAGTTAAGATTATATTTTCATCCTAGAAAAAGTAAAATGGTGAACTACGGTAATTTTATAATTAATTTTACTCTTTGTTATAAACCTGGATCTTAACAACTAATCCAGACATTAAAGGGAGTACTAGAATGCCCCAGATACTATTTATGAAAATGGAAAGAAGCTAAAGTTGCTTGGAATCAACAAATGACATGTATTACAAAGTCATCCCAATCCAGAGTGTTGGACAGTATTTTTGTGGGGTTTTTTAAACCCAGAATTCCCAAGTACCTGCTTAAAAGATGAACTGAAAAGCTTGAGTAAATCATCTTCTCATTGAAACATTTTTGAAGAATAAATGTCACCACTAAACATCAAAATGGACAGTAATTAAGGCTGGAACATTCTGGCTATCCAGCCTGCAGTTCCAGAATGAAGACTGAGGATATTTTTTGCAAACTCTGTATCAGAATGCAACAACAGCCTCAGGGATCTGGCTCTGACTGGAGCTTCTGACCTGCAGTCTCACTGCAACTCTCACTCTATTTAGATTAGTTCACATACCTGTGATCAGGAATTTTCTCTGCTAAACCAAAGTCTCCCACTATTGCTGAGTATCCATTCTCATCGTGTTTTATTAAGCAGTTCTGGAAAAAGGAAAAAAAAAAATAAAACCAAACAGAAGTGTTATTGTGTGGGCATGAAACATCTATAACGTTTGTTTTATCTATTTTTAATCTGGAACACAACTACAAAATATATTTTGGAACACATTCATCTATGAGAAGCTTTTGTTTGAGAGCAACCACCCTCTTCCCCTGCCCTCCCCCTGCACAATCACATCTGTCAAACTTGAGATGCTGCGAACAGCCTTCCACTTAGTTAATAATCCACTTAAAAACTTGCTGAGAAGCAGGCAGCCACAGGCAGCACATACCCAGCTAGGTAATAACAAGAATTGAATTATTTAGCTCCCTTGTGCTCAACTACATGCAATGCACGCTGTTCACTATGACACTTTAAATTTTCTCTTTACCGTTTACCTGTACCTGACCAGAATACAAGATCAGAGCAAACTCTACATGCCTTTGTCTATTTTGCTACTGAAAAGGAACTCAGTGCTTTGCAGCAGCTTTTCATCAGAAAATATAAGATGTGACAAAGTTACATGCGCCTTTAAAGTCTCAACATTCTTTATTTTACAGTGCATTTAGAAAACACGACTTAAGGGAAAAGTCTAATAAAGAAAAGCTGTCAGTCTTTTCCTTTCAAATGTGCCCTCCAGTGTCAGGATGGAGGGCAATTTAAGGACACACACAGATAATTCTGGGCTGGCAGCAGCACATCACACAAAGAGTATTATCGATTCCTTTTTGTTATGTATTTACAACTCTGAGAAATATGCTTTGACCATTCCAACCACACCTTTCCCCTTCTCATCAAATGAATCCATAGCTGACTTCCCTGCATTTTTTGCTGTCCTGCAATAGGTAGAACAAGACAGAATTCATTCCCTTCCCACATGCCTTGTTCTCTATCTTTCTGCAGGCAGTACAATAGCAGTGACAGGCAGCAAAACCACTGCTGATTCCTACTGAGTGGTACCCTGCATTAATTAGCTAAACAGCAGGAAACACTTTCTAGCTTTATTGTGCTTGGATATACAAAAGCCCCTCGCTGACCCCGACCATTAGCTTGTCTGTGTAATGCAGCTACCAAGAAAAGTGAGTCCCTTGTCTAAAAGATCAAGTTCAGGTCATCACTGTTTATATTATTCAGAGACGACCATGGCTCAGGCCATGAAGTAAGTTTTCTTCCTGCCAATTAAAAGGTTAAGGAAGCCATTCCTGTGATCATGTAAAGAAAATGCATGCCAGCCTCTTGAAACGCATGCCAGGCTCCTGAGATGCAAAGCTTTATTTGTTTAGCATGACTCAAGTATAATAACTACAGTTAGCTTGGGGATTCATAAACATGTACCAAGTTAAATCAACTGTGCTTACCCAGAGAGCAGCAAAGCTTCTCAGTTGCGGCCTTTGTTATCTTGTATCAAAGAGCGCATTCATTCCACTCGCCTCTCTTTAAACATTTGGTCATTCTAAGTGGACTTAAAACTGAGAAGGATAAAACTTTTCTGAAAAATCTTACTCAGATGATTCAGACAAGTGGAATTTCGTTGTGTACCACACAGAAACAAGTCCATGAGGACACCAGAGATTTTGCACTGTTCAAGAAGGCTGATACTGTTTTATGCAGAAAAATTTCAGGTTGTTTTTCTGCCGCAGATTTCTCAGCAACTAAAGATGATTCTTAATTCAATGTTTTTTGAAGAAATCTCTATGATTCATAAACACTAGTTTTAAAATCTAGATTTTCTTCTTCCATTACCTTTGACTATATACATTTTGTTCATTTTTAGTAGCAAGACTGCAACACTTAATTTTACCTTCTGAGTTTTATGGATTAGCGTTATTCTCCAATAACCCCAGGTCTCCAAAATTTCAGGGAAACATTTAAAACCAGCCTATTGAAAGAACTACTTTCAACATAAATAAAAATCTGTAGAAACCTATCTACTGACCCAAGGATCTGCAATAATTTACAAGGCTGCTTTGATACCAAAGGGAGGCTTAAAATCAACATCATCCTGACAGCAAATATTCCTTCAGCTTCTTACCAGCATCTAATCACATCCCATTAGACAGCGATACGTCACCAACTGAAGATGAACAATCCCACCCCCCAACAAGCCCCAGGCAGTCCCAGCTCTCAGGTACAGCACTGAACCATTATACAAGTAGGTTATTCCCAGATAAATCATAAATTAAGCCAATGCTGCTTGACAGCTCTGAGCTCCCTCCCCGGTGAGAGGTATTTGCCTGCAGCAAAGCCAAGGCTCCCTTGCAATGCAAGCGCTTGGAGAGACCAAAGAGTGCAGACAGCCCACTGCTGTGGGGTCCACAGGTCCTGCAGGAGAGGCCACTGCACCAGGAGAAGGCACTGGGGAAAGCCCAGGGCAACACTGGGGCTACAAAGTACTGATCACTTGTTCTGCTCTGGTGGGCTGCACAATGTTCAGTGACGTGAAGAAAGAAGCTAAACTGTTCTCTCTCATTAGGGGAAGCTTGTTTTCTGTTTGCACGGGAAGAAGTGCTGAGTGTGAATTTAAATTCATTAGGATATGTACTCCAGTACAAGAGTGACTTTTTTATTCATACTGATATCAGCCACAGGTAGGTGACACGCACCATACAATAAAATCCCAGTGTCACTACAAATGCTCACTGTAGTGAAACTAAACTGATTTAATTCAACTGGGGCAAGTTTTTAAATAGCTAAGCACCAATTTCCTGGAACCCAGAAAGAGTGGAAGCCTATTCCCAGCAAAATCAGTAGTAAACCCCTTCTACATATACTAGCATGGTCAGATGTCACTTTTCCAGCCTCTACAACTTATTCAAGGCAAAGTTGTGTGGACAGTGTGCTGACATTCTCCAGCATCACCATACTCCTCCTCCACCTTAGAGATGCCTTTACACAACGCTGCATAAAACCCATAGCACAGATAATTGAGTTACCAGATTTAAGATGCAATTCATAAATGGGGGACTGAACACAGCCCACAGTAACTGGTAGCTCATGTGCACCCAATGAAAGACATCTCTAAGAATTCACATTCTACCACCGAAGTAAATCAGGATCAAAAAGAGAGAAACCTTCATTAAAGACTAAATGGTCAAAAAGAGCTTTTGAATTTAATCTAGGGGTGGTTTCTCAGCAGGAAAAGTACAATGGTACATACTGCACTGTTTCTTCTAACAAAGTGATACTTCTCAGTTTCTAAAAAGAAAAAAAAGTGTTATCAATGTGGTATGAAGAAGTTTCATTAATGGATTTTGGCACAGAAATGCAAGAGTTCAAACCCCTTGCTAGTGTAAGAACCTCTCAAGAACTGCCTACGAAATGAAATGCCAAGCAGCTTCACAACACGGGCTTTGAGAAAACACTTTTGACTTACTATTGTACTATTTGTATAAGCTGCAAGGCAATAAAATATGACAACCTTTTCAAGATTTCTCTTTGGACTCCTACAGACGGGGAAGTTCTTTCCTTTGGCAGTTCACACAGTTTAAGAGAGCACTATTTGACTTCAGTTGGGTTCTCAAGAGTGGTTTCTTTTTCCAAAACAGGAACCCCATCAGTCCTTCCTGAGGCAGTCTCTTAATAGAAGCAAGGAGCTCTGTACAGGAGCCCTAAAGAGTTAACAGAGCTGTTTATGCAGACAGATGTGAAAGAACATAAAGCCCCCTTTGTGTGTTACAGGAGCTTAACATCTGCTTTGCACAGCATAATCCTACTAAGACAAACGCAATATTCTACTCTCCCTTTTACATAAACAAAAATGAAAATAGACTCAAGAGTTTCAGAGTTAAAAATAAATTGCTTAGATGAAGAAACTCCATAGTTTTGTTTTATGGTATGACATACAAGCTAAACTCCTCAGACACTTTACTGCACTCCAGAAAATACAGAAACACTACTGAGTGTCACTTGCAACCTTCTGATGACTGTTACTGAATTGAAATACTTAAAGGCCAATTGAGATGTATCAGCTATTTTTAAAGTGTTACCCTCTAGGAAAAACACCACTGACAATTAAATGCATAATGGGAAGTTTACAGTACTAGATACACTTCTGAAACTAATATGTTTAAGGGATGGGCTCCTTTCGGTTCCCAAAGTCCCAGTAAAAGTTTATTATTGTAACTAGAAATAACCATTTGTAACAGCTAATTTTTTCAGTGGCAGCTCTCCCCTGCAGTGCAAAATATCCACACCAGAGCTTAGTGCAGCACAAAGGGGACTTTGCAATCGCAGCAGCAAATATGAGACTCATCAGACAAAGGTGCTGTTCACTGCTTGGGGTTTATTTTGTGTTAAAGAAGCAAACAGCATGCAAGGTAGGAAGTCAGGGCATGTCACTTGCAAGCCCAAAGGCAGTGAATTTATGTTACATCAGATAATCCACAGTAATTGCTTACATGCAGGATTCTGTCCCGTAGTAACTGAGACTGCTCCTCTCTCAATGGGAGAAGGCTGAGCCATTACATGCTGAGAAGTGAAAGCAGATGTTGGCAGGAATACACACGCATTCATATGTGTGTATATATCTGTATATATTTCTTCACAGATTTTTATCATCAATGGAGCTCACAATGTCCCCTAAAACTGCTCACAACCTACTACTGATTATAAAACCTTGTTTTTAATTATATATAATTCTGAAAACTAAAAGGCACTTGTTTGAGGGTTTGCCAGTTTGTTTTTAATCAAGAGTTTTGGTGGTGGGTTTTTAGGGAGGGGGTGTTCAGCTACAACAGCTCAGGTGCTTGGGAGAACAAACTTAGAATATGTGTTGCAAACAAATTTTTAAATAACAAAAATAAAAAATCCTTAAAATGTTAGCTTGTGGTATCATACCAAATTTGGCATGTTCTCAACTTGAAACATGATGAGACCTCTGTGTAAGATGCATCTTTTGCCACTGCTGCAAAGAGTAGGCTAGGACAGGCACACGCTGCATGAGGAATTTGAGTGACTAAGATGACAAGACAGAGGATGAGTCCAAGCCAGGGGCTGGCAGGGA